AACAGACACATGAGGAAATACTCGCTATCACTAGCCCTTAGAGAAAAGCCAATCAAAACACGAGATATCATCTCACCTTGGCATTACTAGCACGAATCAAAAAAAAACAGAAAATAACACATGTTGGTGAGGCTGTAAGGAGACTGGAACTCTTATGCACTGCTGGTGGGAATGCAAAATGGTATAACCATTTTGGAAAACAATATGGTGCTTCCTCAGAAAGCTAGAAATAGAAATACCATATGATCCAGCAATCCCACTCCTAGGAATATATCCTAGAGAAACAAGAGCCATCACATGAATAGACATATGCCCACCCATGTTCTTCACTGCAGCAATGTTTACAATAGCAAAAAGATGGAAACAACCTAGATGCCCATCAGCAGACGAATGGATAAATAAACTATGGTACATACACACAGTGGAATGTTACGCATGGATAAAGAACAATGATGAATCTGCAAAGCATCTCACAACATGGATGAATCTGGAAGGCATTATGCTGAGTGAAATAAGTCAATCCCAAAAGGGCAAATATTGTATGAGACCACTACTACAAAAACTCATGAAAAGGTTTACATACAAAAGAAACAATCTTTGGTGGTTATGAGGCAGGGGAGGGGTGGAGATGGAAAAACACTAAACAGACAATAGGTAAGTGGTAACTTTGGTGAAGGGTAAGACAGTACACAATACTGGGGAAGTCAGCACAACTTGTTTAGGGTAAGGTCATGGAAGCTCCATAGACAAATCCAAACTCCCTTAGGGAGTGAATTACTGGGCTGAGGGCTGTGGGGACCATGGTCTCAGGGAACATCTAGCTCAACGGGCATAACATAGTTTATAAAGAAAATATTCTACATTCTACTTTGGTGATTAGCATCTGGGGTCTTAAAAGCCTGTGAGAGGCCATCTACGATACTTCAGATGTCTCACCCCTTCAGGAGCAAGGGAAAATGAAGAAAATTAAAGACACAATGAAAAGATTAGTCCAAAGGACTAACAGACCACAACTACCACAGCCTTCACCAGACTGAGTCCAGTACAACTAGATGGTGCCGGCTACCACTACTGACTGCTGTGATAGGGATCACACTGGAGGGTCCTAAACAGAGCTGGAGAACAAAATTATAACTCAAAAAAAGACCAGACTTAGTGACCTGACAGAGACTGGAAAAACTCCAAGATTGTAGCCCCTGGACACCCTTTAGCCCTGTAATGAAGTCACTCTGGAGGTTCACCTTTTAGCGAAAGATTAGACAAACCCATAGGACAAAACGAGACTCGAAGAGCACACCAGCCCAGGGGCAAGGACTAGAAGGCAGGAGGGGCAGGAAAACTGGTAACAGGGAACCCAACGTTGACAAAGGAGAGTACTGACATGTCATGGGGTTGTTAACCAATGTTATAAAACAATATATATACTAATTGTTAAATGAGAAGCTAGTCTGTTCTATAAACCTTCATCTAAAGTTCAGTAAAAGAAAAATTATACAATTATAAAGTACTAGCATTATTATTCTAATAGTTCAAACCTAAAAGCAAACAGTAAGTGTATCTTATATTCTGAACGGTAAAGTTTTTGAAATTCTATACATTTTTGCAGATCAGTTTTTAAGAAAAAATACATTTTAGAGCATATCCATCTTTACATTTAAATGAAAATACTCAATGGCAACTAACAACAACAGTTTAGTAACAATAGCCAAATAAAAACAAGATGCAACTAATAACTATAAGGCATTATAATCAGATTTAGTACTTACCTATACTAGAGGTATAATCAGTGGCTCCAAAGATCAACTCTGGTGCCCTATAGTACCGAGAACAGATATACGAAACATTGGGTTCTCCTCGGACCAGCTGCTTTGCACTAATAAAAAAAAAAATAATAAAAAGCAGAAAATTTTTACACTAAATCTAAACCTTAACAGAACCCACACTGCTATCATTCAAAACACTGAATACTTATCTAAGATTCACATAATTCCAATCATTCAACATATGAAAAAGAAAACATGAACTGTAATTACCTATCTCCAACAAAAAAAATAATTTTATCACATCACTATGGTAAAAAAGATTAGTTTTAAAGAAAGCATTTGTCAACTGTCATGTAAGGCAAAGGAGATAAAAAGTCACAAAAGGTTAAATGCTGAAATTCTTCTGCTCCTCTGTGAACCAAATTCCACCTCCAAAATACAAAGACGAAAGATCAGAAATGTAAGAGGTTCCCTCTCATTAGAAAGCATGATGATTTTCTTGGGTTATAGTATAAGAATGAATACTCCTCATCAAATATACCTGACTAAGAAATTGGTCACCGTCTTACAATTTGACTTTTGACTCAGGATGAATATCCCAAGGCTTATAGATGCAATCTATTTTATTTCTCCACCACCTTAGTCACTTTGTTCATTGTACAGGCATTCATTACCCGATAAATTCCAAAATGGCATGTCCTTTCCTTTAGGGCAGAGATGATTCACAGCCTATGAATCCCAACTCTGCTGTGTTGAGTTTAATTACATGTTCTCTTATTCCAACTCTCCTTCCACAATACTTTGTAGCATGTACTTTAAACATTAGAGTTCATTAAAATTAATTTAATTTGAGATGTCTCTCAAGATAACTAGAAAACCCAATGAAATAAAAAACTGCTGTAGAAGCTAACCATTTTGACATATAATAATAACAAAGCCAAACACAGGAAATAAATATAAGCAACAAAATCAAAACAGTAGAAAAGAAGTGCAAAGAAAAGGAAAGAAAATTGTGAGGTAAAGGTACAGAAAAATCAGAGGAGACAGAGAAAAGCAGTCACAGAACTATCAAACCCAGGCATTCTTTTCTTTCATCTGTTTCTAGTCAATGATGATTCTAATCTTAATCCTTCATCACCAATTTTGAAGGTGGAAGACAGTTTCATTTATAACCATTCCCCAAGTATTGACACACACCAACAATGTCATAAATTAATCAGTATCAATCCCTGTTTTGGCTGCATGAAAATTTAAGACACTTAATTTTCAGCATAACTGACAATCCAAAAAGAGAAAAACTAACAAACAAACCAAACCTACTGCCGTGAGTGGATTCCAACTCATGGCAACCCCATGTATGGCAGAGGTGGCCTGTTCCATAGGATTTTCTTGGCATAATCTTTACAGAAACAGACTGGCAGGCCTTTCTTCTGTGGTGCCTCTGGGTGGGTTCGAACTGCCAATCTTTAGTAGTCGAGCACAAGTTGTTTGCACCACTCAGGGACCTAACTGATAATAACCTTTTTATATTCAAATTATATTGTCAGAAAATTCATATAAAACAAACAGGTAATGTTGGAAACTTCACAACCTGTAGATTTCTTCACTACTTGATGGAGCTACCTTCTTTTTCTTACAAGTGAGGCTGGCTATAACTCTCTGACCCTCTGAGGGTTGAGATATATGCCCCACTGCCCAATACAGTGGTCACATATAGTCTTAGTCTTCCAATAAACTACCCTTCAGGTAAGCCCTGGCCCCGTTTCATCGAGTAAAGAAGCATTAACAAGGGAGTAATACTGCTTATTGTTCAAGTCACCACCAACTGGCACCTAAGAATCTAAAATGTCTCCCAAACCTATCTGACCAAATTAATCTTGTTAAAAACAAAAATAAAAATGCTATCAGAGGGTTTGTAAAAGTGAGCTATTAGCATATAAGTGAAATCCCTCTTCCAAACTGATTAAAACAAAGCGATTTCTATGTTCTAAAAGATTCATGGCAAGTGTTTTGCCACTATGATGAGAAAAGAAAGTGTACTGAACAACTTGGTGTCTTGTAGTCTTTTCACAGTCCTATCAATCAGACACTCAGTGGGGAAGACGCCCCGTAACAATAAAACTGGATCTGATTTGGAAAGTTTGTCCTATAAACAGTAACTAGTATCAGATAGGAGTTTTGATTTAATTTCCTGCACTTTTTCTTATGGTTCAGGAGACAAGTTAATAACCTGCAGAGTAAGTTGGATACTGTGATAGTACTAGTACCAGTACTAAGTGTGCCAGAGTAGAGTTTTCAGTGGCTGATTTTTCATAAGTAGCTAGCCAGGCCTCTCTTCCAAGGAGCCTCTGGGTGGACTTGAACCTTCAACCTTTTGGTTAGCAGCCAAGCGTATTAACTGTTTAATTAGGAAACTGTAAAATGGGGACAGTATGAAAGAGAACACCCTTGTTAGACTAAGTATTTACTCATGACAGAGCAGATGTGCTTGTGTTTTTTTTGTTTTTTGTTTTTTTTTAGGTATCTCTCTCAAGAGACAGCCAATGGAAAGTATTCCTAGTGTTAAGCCCAATGTTTAAACTGTGGGTTGATGTAAAGGTATGACAAACATGGAGGAATACAAGTGTAACAGGTGTGGGTCAATATGTAATGTAGAAAGAGTTGAATGGAAAAATAAGAATTTGTTAGAAGGATGAAAAAATTAAATTTGAGAGAATCCAAGTTATACAGCAATATCTTAGGAACTCAGTGAAGATAGATTACTCTAAGTGATTACGCCAGAGAGGAAGTAGCAGGGCCAATGCCTGAGTTTCATGGAAATACAAGCTTGATTTCATACTGAAAGGTTATAGAGTCACAAGATACTAAACACTATGGAAAAGAAAAGAATGAAATTTTACCATGAATTCACAGTAGATTACCAAGGAATGAGTTTTAAAAAGCCAAAAGTGAGTTGCAATTTGAAGAAAAAAAGGGAGAATAAGAGATTATAGAAGAAAAGGAAGAAAACACTCTTACTAGATTTTTTACTTCATCTCTGAATTGAGTTGAACTCTGAAGTTAAAAGGATACATAGTATGTATAATAATTGATCATTTTTTAAAAATTAATTCTCATTGAAAAAGGAATACCACATAGCAAAAATCCAAACAATACTAAAGTACAATCAATAAAACAGCAAGCTTCCCAACTACACCATAGTACCAAAGTTTCCCTTCCCAGGGGCAATAAATGTTACAAGTTTCTTATGTATCAATCCAGAAATAACTCATGCATATACATGCATATATTTGTACACATACAGCTACACTGTTTGTTTTTAAAACATAAGAGGGAGGCATAAACCAAAAACTGTTGTTCTGGAGTGGATTCCAACTCACAGCAACCCTACAGGACAGAGCAGAACTGCCTCATAGGGTTTCCAAGGCTGTAATCTTTATGGAAGCAGACTGTCACATCCTTCTCCTGTGGAGCAGCTGATGGGTTTGAACCACCAATCTTTTGGTCAGCAGCCGAGCACTTAACCACTGTGCTACCAGGACTAAACATAATCTTGACCTTGCTTTTTTTCATTTAGTATTTCTTAGAACGCATTCCCTTTCAGTTCACAGAGAGCTGCCTCATACATTTTCACAGCTGCATCAATCACATTATTTGTACAGGTACCATAGTTTATCTGGTCATTTTCCTGCTCCTGGACATTTAACAACAACAAAAATGCTGTAGTAAAAATCCATGTATATACACCATTTCATAAATGTGTATTTCTGAGAATAATTCCTAGAAGTGAAACTGTTAACACGAAAGACTATACATCTATAATTCTGACAGAAATTATCAAAACTACCCTCACAAGGAACTACACTAGTTTATACTTCCTCCATGAGGACTAGTGTTTAGACTGACATCATAAAAGGGATACATTTAAAAGAGCATATGGGAGGGGAGGGGAGAGTGGAAACAGCAGAGAGAGAGAAAGACAGCTAGCTTACCTTCCAAAGTCACAGAGTTTTAAGACAGCTGTATCAGGATCCAGTAAGAGGTTCTGTGGTTTAATATCCCGATGGCAGATTCCAAATGAATGGATATAGGCTAAACTTCGGAACAGTTGATACATATACAACTGGAATAGATAGTAAAAATTAATTGAATACTTCCTATCCCAAACAAATCAGAATCCTTAAGCAGTAAATAAAGTAACAGACTTTCAAACCAAACACGAAATGCTGGGGAACATTAGCACTTAGTCAACCTCCCTTTAACATGTAAAATGTTTCATGTCATTTCTATATGAATTCACTATCACTAATGAAAATGTTATTAACCATATATTCTATTTGCACTATCCTTTAAGAACTTAAAAAAAAAAAAGCTTTACAACTTCTTCATCACTCTTCATCTTACTAACATCTCACTACAAGCCTGCGAGATGGTTTTCTGATTTTTAAGTTCATCATTCTACTACATTAGGCTGTTTCATGTAAAAATATTTCCAGTTTTATCTTTAGAATATTTATAATATGTTTCTGAGATGTCAGCTTCAGAGGTAACAGATACAGAGGCCTGGGAAAACTCACAACTGGACTGCAAAAATCTATAATCGATGACCCACCAAGACATCAGTGATGCTGTTAGTAGCATCATCACTCTTCCTATTAATATCCTTCAGAAATAAACAGACTTTAAAATGTCATTAAAAACACATGCCTAGCTGATTACTGGTATCACCTTAGATTTTTTCAATTTTATTACAGAAAAAGATACACTGAGAAATTCGTGTGTGTGGAAGACAGAATCAGATTCTTGACTGAGGAAGAGAAGGACTTTATGGAGAAAGTGAGTATACTTTGTTTCCCAAAGTCAGTGCTGTGGTTCACTTTAAACTTTTTCTAACTATTCACTTTCTGACCTCTACCTCAAAGTAACACACCACGGAAATAATTTTTGACATGATGCAAACCAAAGACGCCACTGTCTTGGTAAAAAACAAACAAAAAAGTTAGTTAAAGGTCAGTGGCATATGACATCGTCTTTAAAGGCTACAGTTAAGGCTTAGGTGAAAGTGAACATGAAACCTACTGTCCTTCAAAGAGGCATGATGAAAACTACGGACAGTAAGTTGGATTTCAGTGCATCCTAAATGCTAAACTAAAGCTGGAAAATTAAGCCTTCTATAAAATGAAGCATGTTGTAAAACTGGAGAGACCTTCAGTAAGATCAGCAGTTTGTCACAAGTTAGAATTAAGGCAGTTAGGTATCCTTACATAAAATTTTTTAAGAACTTCATTATTCTATTATCGTATTATTGTTCACAGAATCAATCTACAAGTCCTAAAGCTTACTCTGAGAGCTTACTCTAATTCATTACCACTAAGAAAATGATCTCCCATAATAAACATGAGTTGACAGGCATTCATCTACTAAAGGAGAGATTTTACTAATTCTGTTAGGATATTAATGTCTAAGCCAGCAACAATCAATGGGGGGAAAGGAGTTTTCTTTATTAAAAATGCTAAAGTGATAATGAAAGAAAGAAAAAAGCATACAAACAAGAAAAAAATTGCTCAAATGTTTAAAAATGAGGTTAATTTTAAGATGCAATTTTACTGTATTCTTTTATCTGAAAGATCTACTATATCTCCGTTTTCTTTATCTTTTGGAAAGTCCAGATAAAGGATGAAATATGCAATTTTAAGTTTCATTTTTTATCTTCACTCTGTAAAAGTACAGAGAGGTTTTCTACACTAGAAAGAACAATAATAAGAAAAACAACTTACCCTGTGCCAGGCACTATTTCAAGTGCTTTGCATGTATTATCTCATTTAATCCTCATAATAACCCTATGAGATGGGTACTATTATTATTTCCATTTTACATGTACAGTAACCTAGGCACAGAGAGGAGCCCTGGTGGCGTAGTGGTTAAGAGCTCAGCTGCTAACCAAAAGGTTGGCACCTAACAACAACAACAAGGCACAGAGAAGGTAAGCAACTGGCCCAGTATCAGACACTCAGTATTCTATAGCAGCTTGGGTAAGTACTATGGCTTTAATTATGATTTCTTTATTTTGTCCTATTTTTATTCTATTAAATAAATGTACAAAATTTTAATCACTAAATAGCTTGCCCACTAAGTAAAAGACTAGAATGATAAACTCTTCGAAACTCAAAGATATTTAACACAATTTGAAATTCAACTGATTTATTTAACATGTAGTAACTGACAAACCAAGTGGGTTTCCACCCATTTGTTCAACTCTTGCAACCACTGATATACACACTAATCCTCATTTTCACAGAAGAGGAAATAAAGGTTAAGAGAATGAGACTAAGGAATCTGATCAGAGTTACAAAGTTATCAAATCTAACTCAAATCCAATCCCCTTTCCTCTCTGCTACAACATGTTTCAAACAAACAACAGAATGACAATCTTATTTATGATTCACAAAAACGTACTCAGTGCTCTCGTGTACTTAGACCTGGTCCTTTAACATATCTTTTCAATTAAAAAGATCTAAGTTAGGCATTTGTTTTAGAGTTGCATTTTAAAACCCACTTACCTTTTTGAAAGATACTCATCAAAGAAAGCAAAGATGCTCAAAACCTTTTTAATCTATATATTAACCACCAAATACAATGTAACCAGTAGTACAAAAGGGGTGAAGAAACAGGTTTGAAGCAATAAGGCCATAGAACATTCTCAATCCTCCCTGGAAAAAGTGAAAGTCAATCACAAAACAAGAAATATATTTGCCATTCTGCTAATGTGTATGCCAAACAAATCCTTATTAGATGATGCAGTCCATGAAGGTAAGAGCTATATGTATTTATCATTTTTATTTCCATCTCTCAATTCAAGTATTTTTCACATAATAGCATTACAATAAAACTATGTAGAACGAATAAGTGAACGGTTTCCTGTTGTTGTTAGTTGCTGTCCAGTCGATTCCGATTCATGGCAACCCCATCTGTTGCAGAGTAGAACTGCTCCCTATGGGTTTTCAAAGCTGTGACCTTTTGGAAGCAGATCTCCAGGTCTGTTTTCTCTGGCACCTCTGGGTGGGTTCTAATGGCCTATCTTTCAGGTAGTAGTTGAGTGCTTAACCATTTGCATCACCCAGAGAATCCTTAAGTGAATGAGAGTAACTCATAACTCATCAGTTCCAGACATTATTTTTATCTCTTTAGACCTTTAAACTTAAGAATAGATCTGTGTCACCAAAGAAAAATGCCTAAGGCCAATAGCTCTGCCTCTGGAAGGACAATAGCTATTTAAAGGAATCATTCATCTACCCAGAACGGGCTGAAGGGTATTGTGATAATCTTTTTTAAAAGAATCCCTATCTTTTATACATATATATTGAAACACTTACAGATAAAAAAAATAATATCTGGAGTTTGCTTCAAAATAAGCATAGGGAATAGAGAGCAGGGGGTTGTTGTGTTGTTGCTGGGTGCTGTCTAGTTGGTTCTGACTCACAGCAACCCTATGTACAACACAATAAAACACTGCCCGGTCCTGTGCATCCTCATCATCGTTACGCTTGAGCTCATTGTTGCAGCCACTGTGTCAATCCATCTCACTGCCAGTCTTCCTTTTTTTCGCCGACCTTCTGCTTCACCAAGCATGATGTCCTTCTCCAGGGACTGGTCCCTCCTGATAACATATCCAAAGTATGTGAGATGAAGTCTCACCAGCATTGCTTTTAAGAAGCATTCTGGCTGTACGTCTTCCAAGACAGATTTGTTCATTCTTTTGACAGTCCATGGTACATTCAATATTCTTCGCCAACACCACAATTCAAAGGCATCAATTCTTCCTCGGTCTTCTTTACTCGGTGTTCAACTTTCACATGTATATGAGGCAAATTAAAACACCAAGGCTTACGTTAGGCACACCTTAGTCCTTAAAGTGACACCTTTACTTTTTAACACTTTAAAGAGGTCTTTTGCAGCATATTTGCCCAATGCAACACGTGGTTTGATTTCTTGACTGCTGCTTCCATGGGTATTGATCGTGGATCCAAGTAAAATGAAATCCTTGACAACTTCAATCTTTTCTCCGTTTATCATGTAATTTATTTATTTGAAATTATTTGAAATTTTCAATAATAAAAACAAATGTTTAGGGTAACTAAAGAAAGGTCCTGAAATAAGCAAATTTTCTGCAGATACTGTTGTGTGCCATGGAGTCAATTCTAACTTATAGCGACCCTACAGAACAGAGTAAATAAAACTACCCCATAGGGTTTCCTAGGCTGAATGAAATCTTCACGGGAGCAGTTCACAAGGTCTTTTCTCCCTCAGAGTGGCTGGGGGGTTTGAACAGCTGACCTTTCATTTAGCAGCCGAGCACTTAAACATTGTGCCACCTGGGCTGCTTACAGACAGATACACTAAAAGAAAATAATTTGGCACATTTTCTGTTAAAAAAAAATAGGTATTGCGGAGCAAAGGAGATGAAGAACACCAAAGACACAAGGAAAATATTAGCCCAAGAGACAGAAAGGGCCACATAAACCAGAGACTCCATCAGCCTGAAACCAGAATAACTACATGGTGCCCAGCTACCACCAATGACCACCCTGACAGGGAACACAACAGAGAGTCCTTGACAGAGCAGGAGAAAAGGGGGGTATAGAAATCCAATTCCTTTCTGACCAGACTTAATGGTTTGATTGAGACTGGAGGGACCCCAGAAGACATGGCCCCCAGACTCTCTGTTAGCCCAAAACTAAAACCACTCCTGAGGTCAACTCTTCAGACAAAAATTAGACTGGACTATGGGACATAAAATGACACTTGCGAAGAGTGTGCTTCTTAGCTCAGGTAGATACATGAGTCTAAATGGGCAGCTCCTGTCAGGAGGTGAGATGAGAAGGCAGAGAGGGTAAGGAGCTGGTTGAATGGAAACAGCAAATCCGGGCTGCAAATGAGGAGTGTGCTGTCACAGTTTAGGGAGAGCAATGAGGGTCACATAACAATGTGTGTATAAACTTTTGTAAGAGAAACTAATTTGAATTGTAAACTTTCACTTAAAGCACAATTTAAAAAAAAGAAAAAAGTATTGCTTTGCTAGGAATCAATATAGATCTGCTAATAAGTAAATGGAGCCCTGGTGGTTAAGTGCTGGGCTAATAACTGAAAGGTAGGTGGTTTGAACCCACTAGCTGCTTCTCAGGAGAAAGATGTGGCAGTCTGCTTCCATAAAGATTTGCAACCTTGGAAACCCTACAGGGCAGTTCTACTCTGTCCTATAGGGTCACTATGAGTTGGAATTGACTTCATGGCGATGGGTTTGGTTTTTTATTTTTTAATAGGTAAATAAATTTGGAGGGTAGATTCAAGAGAGATGCTACTATACTCCTCTTTTTTCCAAGGATATGTTGCCAATTCAAATGAATATGACATAATTAATGTCACTGAACTGCACTGTTACCTATATATTTACTATAATAAAATAAAAAAAGAATATAAATTTCCAGCTGCTTAACCACTTTTATAACACCTACATTTTGTCTGTTTTAGAGTTAATTGTGTCATTTTTTTCTTCTTACTAGAGAAGGAATGGAGCCCTGGTGGTACAGTGGTTAAAGTGCTTGGCTGCTAAACAAAAGGTTGGTGGTTTGAACCCACCAGCTGCTCCGCAGGAGAAAGATGTGGCAGTCTGCTTCTGTAAAGATTCACAGCCTTAGAAATCCTATAGGGCAGTTCTACTCTGTTCTATAGGGTCAATATGAGTTCGAATCAATGGCATTGGGTTTGGTTTTTTTTAGAGAAGGAATAAAATATTTTATTAGGCTTCAGATTATTCTGCAATCATTTAGCATTCATTTGCTGAATTAAAGAGGTAGGGGGAAAAATCGCCCAATCACTGTGTACTCTTATTGAATGTGCACAGCACGTCACTTTTTAATATAGTGTTAAGGGTTTCTATTAATTTTACTTTACAGTCCACAAAGTATTTTCTCAGATGTTAACCTCATCTTACACACCAACAATGTTATACTCTGGGTAAAAAAGAAATAAGTACAATTTTATCAACATGGAACCTAAGTACAGAATGGACTGGTGACTTGCCCAAAACATATAATTAAGTAGTAAAGTTACGTCTCAAAGCTAGAGCTTCAGGGTCCAAATCTAGGGTTCCTTCTTTTTCATAAACGTGCCACTGCTCTGCACTGGAACCAATAAGAGCCACAGGGTAGACCTTCACCATCACCATTCTGAAGTAAGCTCAAAAGTTTACTCCAGACGTAGTGAGTCCAAAGAAACACACTGCTGTCCTGTTATCTAGAACTGGATTTGCTATTCTAAAACCAGAATAAAGGACTGAGGCAAATTTAGAGGAAAAACTGTGTCATTTAGTTCTTACTATCATCAATTTGGAGTCCTAGTGGCACAGTGGTTAAGAGCTCGGCTGCTAGCCAAAAGGTCAGAAGTTTGGATCCAACAGCCACTCCTTGGAAACCCCATGAAGCAGTTCTACTCTGTCCTATAGGGTTGCTATGAGTCGAAATCGACTCCATGGCAACAGGTTTGGTTTTTGGTTTAGTATCATCAATTTTCTCATAGCCTCAAGCAATTTTTGATAAGCCCAAATAGAAGGTGGCATAGTAGTTAAGAGCCCGGCTGCTAACCAAAAGGTCAGCAGTTCGAATCCACTGGCTGCTCTCTGGAAACCCTATGGGGCAGTTCTACTCTGACTATAGGATCATTATGAGTCGGGATAGACTCACTGGCAACGGGTTTTTTTTAAATCAGATTTTAACTCTTAGCATTGACTTCAACAGAAATCCTGGACTACTTGCCAGAACAGTCTAGCTATCAAAGTTCTAAAAGAACTTCTATTATTAATGTTCTTGCTTTGGTACTCATTTTATTATTGTGAAGTTTAAATACTCTATTAAGTAAAACTTCAAGACTCTGACCTGAAAACACTTAGAGTCAATACCATTTTATTTTCTATAAAGGGTAAAATACAAAAATTAAAAAGAGTTAACGAGTACCATAAATATGTATTTAAACATTTGAACTTTCAAACTTACTCCTAGTTAATTTTCACAATGTCATAATTAATAAAACAAAAATGTTTCTAATCATCTACCACAACTTTTATCAGAATTATGCTGGATAAATTCCTAGCCACTCTGCCATGAGTTCTAGCAAATAAACAAAATGGCATGGATATTATGTACCAAAAATTAAACAGCATCTTGATAGTCTGTGTATATTTAAAATTACTAAAGGCTTTAACTTCAGCTACAGAAGCAATGAACATCTATAAATGGAATTTAAACACTGAATTTGATCATATTTATAACTATATTTAATAATGATATATACCTATTTGAGTCTGTGATGTGATAAAAGTCATATCAGAAATTAAATTTAAAAGTGCTATGCCTAGCAGAATTAAAATCCATAATTATGTATGAAAAAATTCACTGCAATTTACCATAAAGCTGAAAAAAACCTGTTGCCGTTGCGCCGACTGATTCATAGCGACCCTAAAACTGCCTCATAAGGTTTCCAAGGAGCTGCTGGTGGATTCGAACTGCTTACCTTTTGGTTAGCAGCCGAGCTCTTAACCACTGTGCCACCAGGGCCCCATAAAGATGAAAAGCATCTTTAATACCTGCATCATGAAAGTTTAAGATGAAAGCCTCACATGTTAAAACTGTAGAAGAATTTAATGAAGCTCTAATAATACTTTGCAGTTTCTCCGTCAGTATTATATGTGATGTGATAATATAGTTTAAAAGCACCCAGCACTCTCCCTAGCTTTTCAAAATGGGAAATGACTCCATTTTTACATACCTTGACATAGATCACTGGAAGCGTCTGTTTGGCTCGACTATAGTGTCTGGCAACTCTGTATACTGTTTCCGGAACATAGTCCAGCACCAGATTAAGATAGACCTCATCTTTCTGAAAGTGTTAAAAAAAAAAAAAAGATTAGAAATTAGTTTTTAAATGTTCAAATTACAGTCAACTCTATAAATTTACTTATTCAGATGTTAAAAGATTCGTGTTCAATTTTAATTATACAAAATTAATTCAGAGTACAACCATAATAGTAAAAACAAGTATACTATACCTTCTTACTAATAATTCCAAGGAAAAACTACAGCCATTTCCATACTGTTACAATTCTCAATCATATTTAAATGATTATTTTGGTTACCATGACTTTTAAGAATATATTACCTGTCACAAAATTTCATACTAGAAAGTCTTAGAATCAATGTTCTATATCCTAACAGGAAAGGTGGCACAATAGTACAGAGTATTGAATTGAGAGTTAAGAAAGCTGTATCTCTATCTAGACCAAGCTGTGCTGCTAACTGCTGTGCACCAAGTCACTTCATCTCTCTGGGCGTCAGTTTCCTCAACTACAGTATGAAAGGCTGCACTACCTAGATAATCTTCAAAATTGCTCTCAGCTCTACAAAAGGATTCTGTTTACGAGAAAGTGTGCAATTAGTCGAACAACCACTCGTATTCCATAATTAATTGAAATAAGGCAGTGAGTTCCCATATTCACAAACTTTTTGAGGTGTTCTGTTTGAACATCCATTCTCAGCAGCATAAGACATCAATCCAAGAACAGTGGAGAGAAAGAAGGGAATTCCAACTAAATACCAAGTGGAGAAGAGGAATAGAGTGTGACCCTTATCCTGTTCGGAAATCCTGGTGGCGGAGTGGTTAAGAGTTCAGCTGCTAACCAAAAGGTCGGCAGTTCGAATCCAACAGCTGCTCCTTGGAAACGCTATGGAGCATTTCTACTCTGTCCTATACGGTTGCTATGAGTCAGAATCGACTTGATGGTAATGGGTTTTTGGTTTTTCCTACCCTGTTCATGTGAACAATATCAGACAAGTAAATCGAAGCAGAAAAAAAAGCTGTGAATCACTGTGTTCGCGGTCTAGGGCTGGCTACTGAGTGGGGAAATCTGCAGGTAAAGAACTTTGTCTTCCCAATTTGAAATCATCTTAGCTACCAAAGTGAAGTGGAGAATTTAAATGGTCAGCATTTACTGAACACTTTCTAAATGCCAGCTGCCACTGCAGAGGAAGTAAGTGTGCAGGTATAAAAGAGATGACATCTGAACTGAGTTTGAAAGGAGCCTAACAGACGGGGAGAAAACTATATTCAAGAAGTGGGGTCATAGAGTGCAGCAGGGCTCAGGAAACAGTTTAGTGAGACAGCACGGCAATGATCCTACTACCTTTTCACTATCCCTCGGCCCTTCATGTATCCAGCTACAATTTGGTATGCTATCCTTGCTCTCTTAACCATTGGAGGCTTCCAGGACTCAGTCTTAAGACCTCTTCTGTTCTTTATCTAAACTCGTTACTTTGATGGCCTCATCAAGTCTAATGGCTAAATACTACTCATACACTGATGACTCCCAAATTTATACATATAGCCTGGACCTCTTAACTCCAGACTATTATATCCAAGTTTAACAGGCATCTCAAGCTTAACATTTTCAAAACTAACCACCAGGCTTCCAGGCAACATGGCGCTACAGTCAGAAGCACCATGCTGTCCCTCCACAGCAAAGATCAGAAAAACTAAGTCAAACAGAGTCACACATCAATCCTGAAATCCTAAGCATCAAATGAAGAGATAAAGAACTCAGCCAAGCACTGAATGGAATAAAAAACTGACCAAAAACAGAGAGCGAGGAGCAATACATGCAGAGGTCCCCTATCAGCTACCGCAGCATGGATCTGCCATCTTGGACTCCTATCAGAGATCACTGAACAGGAGGTATGAGAAAGCAGCTTCATGGAGCTACAGCAGGAGACAGAACAACCAGTAACCAGCGATATAGGCTTTCCCACCCCCCACCCTTCTTCACCCCCACTTAGCCTCCTCTGCTTCCTACAGCCACAGTCTCTTGGACAGGAAACACCCCGGTGTCGCGTGTACTCTACCCACCCACACTGGCCGACTCCCTGAGTGCCTTTTGTTAGCTGCTGGTGTTGCTTCTTTGCCCAGCTTCTTCAGATTTTTTCGTTCTCTCTCCCTCCTTTCTCTCAAATACCTGGCTCTGTGTACCATCTTTGCTTCTTCCTGAAAGGCTGCAAAACACTGACTGGCTATGAAACTGCTTCCCGGTCCGGGCCACCATGCTGGTAGGACCCCCCGGGTTTTTTTGTTTGTTTGCTCTGATTTGCTCTGTTTTGATTTGTTTGTTTTCTTTTTCTTTTCTCGGCTTGGGAGTCCCTTCTAACCAGGCAGTACCGAGCGGCTTCGAAGCTACTCCCTTACTTTGCACAGACGCACAGGGACATCCCTGGGGG